TCAGTCATAGTAAGCACAGATTTTCGAGAGAATTATGATTTAGCTGAATGATGTTTTCAACATGGAATGATAGATGGTACATCTACTTATTGATGGACAGACGAACTCCAGACGTTTGGTATACGATTTGTTTTGACGTGGATAATAATAATTATTATTTAACATAACTTTACACGTGTTGAAGAAGGTGAGATGAAATGAGGCCTAATGTTTTAAAGGAATTTTAATATTTTTTTTATTTTAACTAGCAAACGGCGGGGTCTTCGAAAGGGCTTTGTCGACCCTTGTCTTCACGGATGCAATGTTGATACATAATTTTTCTCTACATTTTAATGAATATTATTAGATATATAAACATTATATTTATACATATAAAAATGGATCGCAAAATGTGTTGGTAAGTGCATAACTCAACAACGCCTGGACCAATTTTGCTAATTCTTTTTTTGTTATGTTTGTTATTGTCAGGAGAAGGTGAAAGAAAATATATGAAAGGTAGAGGAGAAGATTAGGAAAAAGTGACCCTTTGATAACGAGATAGTTGGACCCGTCCGAAGCGGGGGCGGGCCGCTAGTTCTTCAATAAATCTATGTATTAAAAAGCCGCATCAAAATCCGTCCGCAGTTTTAAGGCAAAGCAAGCATGCATGGGCAGATAGGGACAGAAAAAGCGTCTTGGTTTTACATCATGTAGTTGATGAACTTATCTTCTGGGTTGAAGATAGCTTTACGTATGAAAACGCAAAAATAAATTTATTTAGTACCTACCTACGTACCTACGTGTCGTTTTACGATTATTTTTATTGGGATACCCCGTCAAACTGGCTTATCGAACCTTTGAATAAAGAAATTGACATAGGCCATGGACTCCAAATCAGTTTGAGAGATAATAATAAAGGGGGTGTGGAGTAAGAAAGGACTGGGATATGAATATAACAATAAAAATTTAAAACATTTCGTATTCAGCTATTTCACAGACCATTTTCAATAAGCAAACATTTCAAATTCTTCATACCAACTCCAATATCCGTGCCGGCAAAAGCATTTATAATAAATTCTCTATGTGTTGGTCGTCATGTGGACAGTCAGCTATAACCTTTATTGCTCGAATTGTCAACATTGAGTGCCGCATATAAAGTAAGACTTTATCACCTGCAGCTGTGAGTGCAAAATTGCACGATCGCTATGTGGTCGTTTACGACTGTGCTATTAAAGAAAGCATTGCAGAATGTCTTCGTTTGCGTTTCTAGTAGGATATTAGTCTTTGTTATTTGCACTCTAATGATCAAAATTGATTGTACACACTATTCTAGTAAGCATCAAAGAAATTCTCGTCCATAGGTTATCCTTTGAAATATAAATACCGTACTACGTTGCTTCGCAAGAGGTCCTTGGTTCAAAAGAGTTTTTTTTTTAATATTTATAATGTAAAGCTCTCCTGGTATAAATCTTAAAGCGTAGTACTTCTACTTAACATAACTGCTGTTTCTAGAGTAATAGCAATTGCGACTGTTGAGCAGGACGTTCGATTCCCGAGCCAGGCAAAAACTATTGTTTTCTTTTGTTTTAATAAGTCGCATACCCTCGACATCACTTTTACATACAATTTCAATACACTGGACCTGGACTGGACTGGACATTTAACTTGACCCAGCACGCTGTATGCTCGGTTCTTGTCCAAGTTAGATGGCGACCTAACCTTTAATTGTATTTCTAAAGACATGACGTTGTACACTTCCTAAACTAAACATCTCACACTACTATACTCTTTGTAATCTCAAGAGAAATATTATCGTAATCCTCCATTCTACAAAGGATTAAATTACAGGATTTTCAAAACGAGGTTTCCCATTCTTATGTTAATTCGTGCACTTGTACTGTTTATTTTGTGAGCTCAAAATACCTACTGAGAAAACACTTGAGTACGTGGCAAAGTGTCAAAGCTTCTTTTTTGAGGCACCCTTCCATACGGATTACCAGGCATTTACTTGACTGTCCTAAGGCGGTTCCGGTTGCATACCATTAGGTAATCCTTCTCCGCTTTTGGCACCGCAGGTTTCAGATGAAAAAAACTGCGTACTTAACTTTGGGCACTGTCTCGTAAACATTCTTGATCTTTTTGCCTGATGCAGCATATTTTGGCTCATTTAGATAGGATTAGTTTAGTAGTGGTGGTGGCCCGGAGGTTAAAGAGCCGGCTTCTCATGCATGTTCCTGGCCGAAACCTGACAAGTTCCAATGTGACCTTTTTCGAGTTATATGTACTCTCTATCATTATTAAGACACCACTGACATACGGTGGAGGTAAACATCGTGAGGAAACCTGGACTTATAATTTCTAATTATAAGTTTGAAATCGCTTTGAGCAAGCGTGGTGATTAATGCTCAAACCTTTTCCGTGTGAGAAGAGGCCTTTGCTCAGCAACGGGCATTTATGGGCTGATGATGATGATGGATATATTTAGTTTTTTATTTATTTAGAGAGATAGAAATTCTACGTAAATTATCCAAGAGATGAGGTACGTTGGAATGTTCGTCGCCACACATGGCGTATACCTTGGTCTGATCGTTACCGGCCGCTAGCCGACTGTCGGCTGTCGGTTCCACGACGTCGCTGCGACGAGCACGCTGCTCATGAATAAGAATCCCGTTGTGACCTGAAACTAGTTGAGCTTTTTTCAGTTAATTCACGTGAGTAAGTCGTTATTTTCAATAAATTCAGTATGTAGTCGAAAAACAACCACAACGCTGTGTTTCGCCGTGTGAGTGAGGTTACCGGAGGCCCAATCCTTCCCCTCCCCCAATCCCTCCTCAATCCCTAAATCTCCAAATCCCTTATCCCTTAAAGGTCGGCAACGCACTCGTAACTCCTCTGGAGTCCATGGGCGGCGCTGATTGCTTACCATCAGGTAATTAATCCGTATGCTCGTTTGCTGACCTATTACATAAAAAAAATGTATCACGATGTTACTATTCATTATTTATTTCCAAGCAAAACCAGGTCCTCAAAATTTCCCAATACGAGGTTGAAAGCAGAAATTAAAGTTATTTGTTACTCAAATATTTGGAAGTGGTATACTTTAGAAATTATAGTATTGAACTTTGATCAAGAGTTTACCGAGATTGAGGTGAAATCGCTTAAATAATATTTGAAATTGTTTCAGACTTAACACTCCTATCATAATCACCCAAACCTTCTAAACTTTCACAAACAAACAAAAGAGCACTAGAAAACAAAAAATGAAAAATTTTCTAGACAAAAAAATATGTATCACGTCTTACGACGGTAACAATTGGGTAGTTTCCTAGGTCAAAAATAAATTAATTCGACGTTTCAATGAAATAAAATATTGAAAATATTCATCAAATATTCATTTTTATTCATCGTTCTATCGATACACTAAATTTTAGATATTTTTGACTAATTTTAAGGAAATAAGTAACTATTTAACACCAAAATACTATGACGTCATAGCTCAGTTTCCCATACAAATTTCATAGAAAAGTTTAGTTTTTGACATTTGGATAAAAGTAATGAATGACTAGTTGGAAACTACCGTATTTACTGATGACGGTGCTACCTATTTTTTTATTCACTAGATGGAGCTACTGTCGTGTTAGGGCTTTTTGTCGTTGCCCAAAATACGAACACAAGCCACCAGCCAAGCTTTGGTATTGCACTGATTTTTTTCTTAGCAATATATTTTTATTCAGCTGTAGACATAATCCATTTGAAGAAATAGAAGAAGTATCGTATCTAAATTAAAATGGAATCTCAATTTAACAATTGTTAGACACTCACACAAAGAATGGCATGAAACGATACTTGCGTTGTTTCGCCGTATGAGTGATGTTATCACAAGCCCTATATTCTACACAAAAATGCTGCATCATCCTCTGGTGTTTCGGATGTCCATGGACGAACTCGTTGCCTACCGATCCCAGAAGAAACTACCAATATTTAAAAGCTTCAGTGAGCCAAAACCGTGACTGGAAACACACAAACCTTGGTACAAAATTAATTTAAGAAAGCGCCGGACGGATTTAGTTGTATAAACAAGCAAGGGTTTCAACACAAAGTTTGTAAACACGTCGCTTTTGACGTCAGAACTGTACCCGTTGCTACACGAGCCTGTTAATACAATATTAGGTACCTACTCAGTATAATTATTTGAGAATAGCTTGGGCACGCTGCTTTGCCCGCATGGTATGTTCATAAAAAGTAGCCTATTGAATCTGTCCAGCCATAAAGCCAAGAATAACAGACGATCAGTACACTTTTAAAACTTTCACATTTGTAATACTAGCTTTGCGCCGAAGCATGGCTCTCCCACACTTCTAAAACACACAGAACAGAAAGGAGAATGAATTTTAAAAATAGAATGGAACTAAGCAAAGAGAAAAGTCTATATATTATAAACACAAAAGGTCATATTCACCACAGACTATAAATTTAACTTTACACTCCAATTAAACCAGGTATCCGAACATGAATTCAGAAATTAAAGTAATTTATTTCATGTACACCATTAATCTAAATGAAAGTAAATCTTATTTTAGAATGAAAGTCGTAAAGCATGTCAGTTGGCCATCATTCTGTTCAAATCGTAAAATTTAGAAACTAGGTGCGTGTAATGATTTATCCTGGTTACCACTTGGAAAATAAGGCCTCATTATCAGACAGATTCCGTCCAACGCTGGACATAGGCCTCCGTAACTGCACACCGCTGAGCTCTTCTCATCCAACCACTGCCAGCCACGCTGCGGATATAATCAAGGTAACAGACAAAGAGAGGCTTTTTTTTCTTAATAACTTAGTGTTATTTTGGCTATTATCTCATCTGGTGGATTAAATTAACGGGCCTCCTAAACTCCGATGTAATTTGATGATTTTCCAGTTTCCTCTGACAAAATTAAATACAAAAGCCAGTACTCTTCCCATGGCATTGAGTTTTTAGCAAAAAAGCATAATAAGTGTGGGAGACCCATGCTTCGGCACGAATGGGTCGGCTCGACCGGAGTAATACCACGGCCTCACAGAAAACCGGCGTGAAACCACCACAGCGTCGTGTTTCGCCGTGTGAGTGAGGAAACCGGCGGCCCGATCCTTCCCCTCCCCCAATCCCTCCCTGATCCCTAAATCTCCAAAATCCTTATCCCCAAAGGGTCTGCAACGCACTCGTAACTCCTCTGTTGTTGCGGATGTCCATGGGCGGCGCTGATTGCTTACCATCAGGTACTCCGTCTGCTTGTTTACGGACATTAAAAAAATAATCATATTATCTTCGTTTACAAAAGCAGTAAAATCACCGAAACAAACGGTCCTTTGCGTTGAAATGAGTGCACGAATTCCAAATTTAGCGCCAGTGACGCTATAGCCGCTTTATATTGGACATACGCAGCTAGCAATGACGTACAACCCAAACGAATGGCCGACCGTAGCAAGAACTCTCCTAAGTATCAATAAAATCAGTGTATTTCCGTAAGCAAACCAATGAGCGAAGTTATTACAATGTTTTAGGTTATTTTTATAAGTAAACTTTAAGCTTGGCACTATTTTAATAGATGTTATCTATACAAATGTTATAAAGAGGTAAAATTTGTAAGCTTGTATGTAGGGGGTAATCTTTGGAAACGCTGGTCGGATTTTTAAATTCTTAACTGATAGATAGCAACAATGTTCCTGAGTGCTATAATGCTTAATTTGCATACTTTAGTCGAGCTTTAACTTAAAACGCTGCCGTGGGTGGACGCCATACATATAAACCTTTCTCTTCAACCACTCTATCCATTAAAAACGTATCAAAATCCGTTGGGTAGTTTTAAACTTTTAAGCGTACATAGAGATAAAGGGACAAAGAAAGCGAGATTGTTTTATACTATGTAGTGATGTATTAATTTGGTTTGATTTTCAAGTGTCTGCCTGTAGCGATAATAATTCTCAAGGATACAACCAAAAAGTATTAGCCATAAAAAGGTGATACCTTTTAACTGGCAAAATAATGATGATATTTAAGATTCCATTTTGAAGTTGCTTTGTTATTGGATATAGCGCGAAACGAATAGACTGTATATTTAAGGATTGTACTATTATTCAACTAAACCAAGACATTAGGTTTCACGCTGGATTTCTGAGAGGCCGTGGTATCACTCCGGTCGAGCCCACCCAAGCCACGTTTCACATCGGTTATCGAGCTGGCCCATTGGAACCGTATTTTATGGATGACGATCACTAAACATTATAAATGGATTATATTTGATTCTTGGATAATAGTTAACAAACTGGAGTCTTTTATATATTTAAACTAATGACACTACGTAGGTATCAAAATTTTAAGAGTAATTAAGATTTGACTAAAATTTCTTTTTGTCGGCAAAACTATTTATAACCTACACAAAATGTGTAATACATTTTTAGATAAAGGGTTAGAAAAAAATCAAGGGTCCAAACAGGCCAGCACTTAGTTAAATTTCCGGGGCATTACATCTAATTGCCAGGGTCCTTCATTAACACCGGTCCTTAGTGCGAACCCTTCGGCAAAATTTTCCGCTTGACCCAAAAAAATCCTTGGTTTTTGAAACCCTTTCATGTCGTATATTAAAACGAATCTATTGTTTGATATCAAAAATGGAGGATTAGGATTTTTATACTTATTTTTATCATTTTAAGTGTGGAAGAGCCATGCCTCGGCACGAATGGGTCGGCTTGACCGAAGTGATACCACGGCCTCATAAAAAAATCAGCGTGACACAACCACAGCAATGTGTTTTGCCGTGTGATGGAGGTTACTGCAGACCCAATCCTTCCCCTCCCCTAAAACCCAATCCCCAAAAGGTTGGCAATGCACTTAAAACTCTTCCGTTGTTGCGAGTGACCATATCCAGTGGTGATTGCTTACCATCAGGTAATCCGTCTGCTCTTATGTCGTCATATATTATTAAAAAATGCTAGGTTGACCTTATTGGTCGACTGGTAAACTTATAATTAGAATTTAAAACTCCAAGTTTCCTCACGTTACTATCCCTCACCATATGTCAGTGTTGATTATACTTAATATTATAAATGCGAAAGTAACTCTATCTGTCTGTCTTTTCTTCACGCCTAAACTACTGGCCCGATTTCACAGTTTCTTTGTAACTCGAGAAAGTACAAAATATAGTTTTTATACTAAAAATCTGCAGGAAGTCACTATTCCACGCGAACGGAGTCGCGGGCAAAAGCTAGTGATATATAAACAAAATTTTTTAACGGCATTATATATTTATTTCAGCAGGTCCAATAATATTGCATAACATACAACTGAATACGAAACATATTTTTTTACGTAGGTACTATATAAAATAACAGTAGGTACGTAAAACTAATGAAATGTTCAGTAATACATGAACAAATACATAGTTTCAACTCATTACATAATATGCAAGCCAACAATGTTTTCCGTGGTGTTTTCACACGTTCATGAAATTCTATTGTGTATTGAGTTTCTATTTCAGGAACATTTTGTACTAAATTTATTAATTAATAATACTTAGCTTACTGTCGTAGTGGCCCAGAGATTAAGGCGACCGCTTTTCATGTATGAGGGTTCGAAACCTGGAAAGAACCAATGTGACTTTTTCCGGGTTATATGTACTTTCTATGATTATTTAGACACCACTGACTTAAGGTGTAGGAAAACATCGTGAGGAAACCTGGACTTATAATTTCTAATTATAAGTTTGAAATCGCCGATCCTCCTTGAGGAAGCTTGGTGATTAATGATCAAACCTTCTCCGTGTGAGAAGTTACTTCTCTCGCCCAGAATGAAGCAAGAGCGCGTGTCAGACTCTTACTGTATTAAAACCACCTTCCTCCTTATTCCTTCTCCTGCTAAACTTTAATCTTAAATATACAATATACATAAAAACCAAAGTTGTATGAATTTATACTAATACTATACATCATAACATAAAACATCTTCGTCAAATGATGTTACACGCTATCTCTTTCACTCTACCTTAAATATTTATCATCAAAACGGTGAAAGGATTTATTTTACATTAGAAAAAAATATCCCGAAGAATTGAGAACCTCCTTCTTTTTTTGAAATCGGTTAATAAGAGTAAGAAATAACACTATTACCATAACAAAGGTCCCTGACCATGCTCCTCCTTTTTCAGGCATAGTCAACCGAGGAGACTCGTTCAGACGCCGCAGATCAAGATCGGGGAGTTTAGCACCCTCTTCACCTGCACAGTCTGCGCCTGAGTCGCAGGAACGAAAGCCAGTAGCGTGTCACCGTGTCGCCATGGTCGGAGCCCCAGGAGTCGGCAAGACAGCCCTCATCAGCCAGTTCCAGACCAGCGAATGTATAAATGCTTACGATAGACAAAGAGGTTCGTTCTTTTAATTTCCTTATTTAAAATGTTTTAAGGAGCATCTATATATTTTTAAAGCGTTATTATCGCTCGGATTTGTAAAATCTTTCTAATCAAAAACCTTGGAATTTATTTTAATGAGACTCGGTACTCTTGCATAATATATTAAACTAAACATTTCAAATTAAATTTTGAAATCACCATTCCACCTTAAGTAAGCGTGGTTTGTGCTCAAACCTTCAAAATCAAAGTCAAAGTCAAAATAATTTATTTCAACTAAACCATAAAAACGTCATCATCCGTGTAAGATACTTTAACTCAGCATTTATAGGCTGATAATGATGATAATAATTATAATTAAGATAGCCGTGGGCTATTCAGTAGTAATAATTATTTACTCTGACTTGTTTGGTTAAGTTTTTTTTTATATAATAGGTAGGCAAACGAGCAGACGGATTACCTGATGGTAAGCAATAGCGCCGCCCATGGATACCCGCAACGGAGTTACGAGTGCGTCGCCGACCTTTTAGGAATAAGGGTTTTGGAGATTTAGGAATTGGGGAGGGATCGGGGGTGGGGAAGGATTGGGCCTCAGGTAACCTCACTCACATGGCGAAACATAACGCTGTGGTTTTTTCACGCCGGTTTTCCGTGAGGCCGTGGTATAACTCCGGTCGAGCCGACTCATTCGTGCCGAAGCATGGCTCTCCCACACTTAAATGATATTAAATATATGTACAAACAAATATATGTTGTCGATTGAAGAATCTTTGGAAAATTATTTTGAATAATCGTGAGTTATAGGTTATAAACCATCAAACCGTCACCCATTTGTATTAAATCGATGCTGAAGCTGCTAACAGAATAAAACTCCATTTTTTTCACGAAATTTTCCTTAACTGTCCGTAAAACTGATACCAAAAAAACCTCAGAATCTGCCTAAGTTCATAAGAGTTTTACGATTTATAAAATACTTCGCTACAGTTCTATAAAAATAAGTTCACAAGTCGCCATTTTGTTGGTGCACGGTAACCAATAGTTACAGTAAGCAGACAAGTAGATGTCAATATTTATTTGACTGTCCAACTGACCAACAACATCGAAACTTGAATGGCTGTCATTTTTATATTACGAGAAGATTTTTATTACGACATGCCTCAACCGAAAGCAATGTATGATAACTCGCTGTACTACATACCTACTCGTATATGTACAGTCAGGGGTCAAAAATGCAATAGCACTCTACCAATTTTAAAATTACCAAAATATCTTTGTAGATTAGAGTCGATGGTTGAGGACTGCTTTAATTTATAGCATAGAATCTAAATTATTGAATAAACTGGCTGTGAACCATTGAACTTTTACTACTGAGAATAGAGTTCTCAGTTTCAAAATATCTGCACATGGACACCCGCAACAACGGAGGAGTTACGAGTGCATTGCCGACCTTTTGGGTATAAGGATTTTGGGGAGGGATTGGGCCTCCGGTAACCTCACTCACACCGCAAAAACCAACGCTGTAGTATCACTCCGATTGTTTTTCGCTACGCGAGTAACGTTCGAAACCAAATCCAGACCGGTAACAAAATGAGTTATTTTGTACTGGTACTTTGATACTATCTACTGATTATTAATCTTTGAGAAATTAATTATGAGATACGAAGACTAGTAAAGAATTGATGAAAAAGAAACAACGAATTTGTTTTTGCAAAAAGTCCATAAAACAGACAATATTTTTACACGATAACACTTGAATATAATTTAAACGTCAAAGAAAAAGGTTTTAAGCTAAATAATATTACACAAAATTGTCTCCTTCCAAATGTCAATGTGCAATATTATTGTCGCCAGTCGCCATTTACAGTTACAGTCTAAAAGAAAGATGGCGTCAAAACCCTGTACAAGTTTTAGAGAAATAAATTGCACTCGTCTCCGACACTTGAAACTTACTCAATACTCTCAACTTTAACTCATTGCAAACAACTTGAACTACACTATTATACAGGTACTTTTTTGAGTGATGCGATAGGGTGGTCAACGAGCTTACCATTAAGCCGAAGATAAGCAATATTTTTTTCTTTTTCTTCTTTAAAATGTTGCTCACACTATGGTTTTCGCCTGTGTCGTCGGTGCACTTCCAAACATACAATTTCACATACACACCACAAACAGACCCGGAACAACAATTAATTTAGTTAAGAGTGGGAGACTCAAGCTTCGGCACGAATGGGTCGGCTCGACCGGAGTGATACCACGGCCTCACAGAATACCGGCGCGAAACAACCCACAGCGTTGTGTTTCGCCGTGTGAGTGAGGTTACCGGAGGCCCAATCCCTCCCCTTCCCCTATCCCTTCCCAATCCTTATATCCGCAACCCCCACCCCCCAAAAGGCCGGAAACGCACTAGTAACTCCTTTGGTGTTGCGGGTGTCCATGGGCGGCGCCGATTGCTTACCATCAGGTAATCCGTCCGTTCGTTTGCCGACTTATACCATAAAAAAAAAATATGAATCACACAAAGAGTTGACAGCTAGTTGCCCAACCGAGCAGTCGACGCCGCCAATAGACACCCGAAGTGCGTTGCCGGCCTTTTCGAGATTTGGGGATTGAGGAAGGATGGTGAAAACGTTACACGACGCCATTCCTGTCAAACCACAGCCTTTCACCTTCACTCAGACAAGACAGTTTGTTTCCGCAGCAGTGGACTGAAGAAATGAATGTCATTTCTTCAGTCCACTGCTGCGTATTCAACTTTTCCCTACACTATTAGATGCTTCACGGACTCTAAAAGGATAAAAAATATCAATACAATTATTAACCATTTAAATACTTAAACAAAAACTGTATTCAGTAAAATAAAAATAAGTAATTAATTAAAAACTGAATAATTTATGAAACGACGACGATGTAAACTTCACAAAAAATAAAACGCAGTAGCAGCTCGCAGTTTTTGTTGTTCGTTTCACTGAAATAAACTTGTATCGTTATAAAATTATAACAATAGTGCCACTCTATACAATAAATACGTTCTTGCACGGAAAATAAAATAAAAAATCGTAATGCCAATTTACACCCCATCCCCATCCACACTTCCCATATCCCTAAATCCGCGCGGATGGCATGCTTCTTTTACCTCCCAATACCATAAAAAAACTTTACAGATAAAACTGTCAGGTGTATAATAACATTCTATGGCTATTTTGAACATAATGAAACAATGAATTTATTTTTGCAAATAGGCCATAAAACGGCACTTTTACCCGTCAATTAATGCATAACGTCCTTGTTTCCCAGTTTTTTCATTACTAGAATTCGCCCGCGACTTTGCACTCGTGTAAAAGTAAAGTGTACCGAAATTTTATCAGTGAAATAATTTTAGAAATCGTCCGAGAAATGATTGATAGACCTACATACAAACTTACCTACAAAGACCTCTTTATAATATTAGTATAAGTTCCAGTATGAAGTGGATATTCTGTATTTTCTACGTTGTACGATAAAACTTGTTCTGCAACGCACGTCGGGCGAAATTCACTTAACTTTGCAATTATCCCGACCGGTTCGTTTTCTAAACTATTCTGTTATCGTATTTTACATTAATTTTCTGCTTTGAATTGTCTACTTCATTATTCATATTATCACGAGGGTTGTAACAAAGACTTTTTGTTCAATTTCAGTTTCATGCAAAATATTTATTCAGTAACTACCTACTCGTACCATGCGCGGCTTCGCCCGCGTGGTATGTCGATAAAAAGTAGTAAGTCCTATTCCAGAGTGTATCCTTTGCTAGGGCCAAATTCCATCCAAATCCGTCCAGCTGTTTAGCGTGGTTGAGTAACAAACATCCAAATATCGTAACTTTCTCATTTATAATATAAGTAAGATGTTTTTTCGAAAACACCAACCAACCACCGCTTGCTTCAAGAATTTGGCGATCTGAAATATCATTTGAAGTCTCTGTTGTAAGTCCAAGTTTTATCACAATGTCTTCCTTCGCCGTATGTTAGTGGCGTTTAGATAATCTTAGAAATAATATATGTATAAATGTGTAACTCAGAAAAAGTCACATAGATAATCCATCATTATCATCATCATCATTTATATTAGCCTCAAACGTCCACAGATAAACATATGCCTTATTATTGACTTCCATATATCCCTGTTTAGTTGGGGTTGCGGGGTAAGCTCAATGAGGCACCGCAGCCCTAGCCTAGAGCAGGAGAAGGAACGGGCGGGTTTTTAGTCAGTAAGAATCTGACACTGCCTCTCGCCTGTCCCTCGGCGGGAGAAGTCATTTGATGATTTTTCCCTCGGATGCCTGCCGGCCAACTGGAGCTGCTTTCTACTAGTGCTCACCAGAGTTCAAACTACCATTTAAGAAACGAACGAATTACCCTCTTTCTTAACTATCACGACCGAATTTTTTTGATACCTGTTTTTCACTGGTAAGAGGACAAACCCCCCTCCCCCCCTCAAATACACACAACTACTTATTCCTTAATCCAACGTGCTTCTCTCGTCTCTTTAAAGAATTTCAAAGAGTAATATAAATGTTATTTATATTAAAATTAAAGTCTGGTCTGTACTGACTAATTAGGTTCACCGCTGTGTGTTTCCCATTATAGAAGTAAAACACAAACTACATGCAACTTGCAATTATGTTTATTCTTTATGAGACTATTTTTGTTTCTTTTTTATAAATATACTTACATAAAATATTTATTAACATCTAAATTGAGATGTAAGCTATCCTATCTTTCAAGTTGGATAAAAAATGGAATGCAAATCATATTTAAAATCGGTTTTGTAGTTTAGGAGTCCAACGCGGACAAACACGTGAAACGAAAATTTACTGAATGATTACTTACATACACAAACTACCCAGATCTAAAACAACTATTTGTGACAACCTCGCGCATAATGTCATACTCTCTGGACCATAGATAAAAGTTTACTATTTATATTTTTATTTTATTGTGTTTTTTGTTATTAATTTTATTTTAGTTACCAATTATTTG